CCAAACTGTTCTATGATTCTATGATCTTTTTTGTGCTGCTGCATTTTTTTGTTTTGTTCTGCCTTTGGAGAGCAACCTTTTCCCTATTATGTTTTTTCTTTTTTAAACTTTTATCTGGTGAGGAAAGCATGTCTGGGCAGGGAAAGGCTGTCTCATATCTAGATAAGGGATTTTGAGCTTCCTCTTTGCAAGGGTGTAAAAGCACTGTTGTTTTTCTTGAGCGGAGGAAACATTTACAGAGCAAAATAAAAGCCCCACAGAGGTTTCTGAGCAGACAGAGATGGCCCAGAGGTCTTTGTAGGATTTCCTGTATATGATGTTTCTCGGTTTAAGTAAAGGTGAGATCATGCCGAATGCTTACCACCCTGGAGATCTCCACTTAAACAGAAGCACAGAATTTACCTCACTGTATCATAATATTTGCTTATTTGTGCTTTTTTTAAACTTTCAGTTCAATATTAACAAAATTATCAAAATTCCTAATAAAGTATGGAATCAGGCTTTTGGTAAATACCACTTTATTTATGTTTTCTGTGTTTCCTGTTGAACATGGAAGCTGGAACCCGTCCTCTGTAAGCAGTGAAGTAGCAGACAAGGCCCAGTGTCTCTGCATTTTCCACAGATGTGGGGTGGCACAGCAGACGTTTTCATTTTGACCAATAAAGCACTTTTTTAACTTCACCATACAAAGCAAATCCTCAAGCTTTTTTTCCGCCCACCGCGACTGACCGTGGTGAGTGACGTGTTCCCGGTTCCCGTTTTCCAGAGCTCGGCCGTGACGCAGCGCATCAGCCCCTGCTCCACGCTGACCAGCAGCACCGCCTCGCCGCCCGCCAGCAGCCCCTGCTCCACCCTCCCGCCCGTCAGCACCAGCGTCACCGCCAAGGACTGCACCTACGGCGCCGTCACCAGCCCCACCTCCACGCTGGAGAGCAGAGACAGCGGTATCATAGGTGAGTGCTGTCCTCCTCCTCCTCCTCGCTCCACTGCGAAGCCAGGTAGTCATCGACTGTGTTGGTTTGACAAGCTTTATTTTGATAATCTACGTGCATTTCCTAATTAGTGGGATGGTTTTGCATTATGCAAGTTAAGACTGCAGTGACCGAGGTGAATTGTACCCCTCCACCTTCCATTCATCATAGGTAAAACTAGGTAGAGTTGGTGGAAATTGGGATGGATGAGGTTGATAAGTAAATTATTTGATGCAAAATTTTGGAACTTGTTTAAATGCTGAAAGAGAGGGCGTTTTATCTTTCTTCTATTTTTGCATCCAGTCTTCACCTTTTTGCTTCTTGCGATCTTTCTTCCCAAAACATTTTTGTCTCCTTTAATTCTAGCAAGGTTGTTGGGGTTTTTTTCTACCAAGTTTTTCTTCTGTTCTGTATCTTCTCCTTCAGCTGCTGTCTGTGCCCATTTGTGAATGTAGAGATGCTAATTTAGAGAGACGCAAGCTTTTTGGTCCACTAAGGAAGATGGGATGGTCTCAGTGCCAGGCAGTGGCTGTTATTTGGGGCTGCCATCCCCACCTACTACCTCATGTAATTCTAGAGGCATCTGTTTTTTCAGCATTTTCCTTCCCTTAATGCCATTTAGTCTATAGCCACTGTTCTTTGGTGGCAGAGGAAAGAGAATGGATGATGGCATCACGTTCATAGGTCAAATACTGTTGGATTATATTATTATAAATATAAAAGACTGATTACTTTCTGTGCTCCATGACTGTCAGTGCCGCCTTATCGGTGACTTTGTGCCTCAGAAATGACTGCTTCTCTTAAACTCAGCCTTGGGCAGGAGCAGGATTAAATTAACACAAATTTCAGTGAATTTCTGTAGCTGGTTTTTCATTGAGTGATCTGTAGGTTGCAAGTATAAAGGATCTTGAGAAAATAACATACACAGATTAATTTCTGTTCAATAACTGTGAAGGCTCAATGAGAGAAAAGTAGTGTCTATGTAACATCAGGCAGGATGGTCCCCGCTTGGTTGTCCTTGCCACATGTTTTATGTCGCGTGTTTCTCCAGCTAAGAAGATTTTACTTTGTCAACAGTTTACGTAGTGCCTAAAAAAAAAAAAAGGAAGGTTGGTTGATAACTTAGGGAGTTTAGTTGCACTAGTGATTAATATTTTGCTTGGCTGATCAGGAAATCTGAGCTTAGTTCAGCTCCTGTATGCCGCAGCAACCTTTGTAGCACTTCTGCCTGCATGATCTTAAAATGCAAATATGTAAGCTATTCTGAGCTGCATAGCGAAGTAGGTTAATGAATTCTGGGAAAAGTCATTGCAGTATCACAGACCCTTCGTTCTCTGCTCACAATGTCCCACGGTCAGAGCTTCACCCTGTTCACCAGCAGCCCCTTGAAGCCTGGTTGGGCTGCAGGATCATGGTGAGTAAAAGCGGACGCTTGATTCCAGCTGGGTCTTACCTCTCAGCAGAGCTGCGAATTAAGCCGAAGACTTGAACGAAGCCTGAAGTGGAGCAGCAGAATTGGCAACAATGCGTGTGCTCTGCTTTTACGAGCTGCTCTTACTGATGAGATTTGTCGGTGCGTGCTGCATTATTGTGTTGGGCTCGTCTTGCCCTCGTGGTTGGTTGGCAGGTGCCAACCTGGAGGCGATGAAACCGTAGGTTACCACAGTTTGGTTTCGTTTGGAGTTCCTTGTCCACGTGAAAGCCAGAGGAGATTCGGGTGGCCTTTGTAGCACACCTGTGTGTCAGAGAAGTGTCAGCATGATCCCGATTCCTGGCGTGATAAGGCATTGAAGCTCTTTGCTCAGACTTTCTACCCTATCCTTTTTTCAGTAGGTCTATAGTAACTAATTTTTAAGTCTGAAACATTTTTTTCGCTTGTCACAAGGAAGATTCTCTCTTAGAGGTTCTTGTGTCGGGAACTTAGATTTTCCCATGGAAACTTTGGAAAATAAAAGAAGGTGGCTTATCCCAAGGCTATGTTAATGTATCCCAGATGGAAAAGTCATGCAAAAATATGTTCATGTGGAGTAGGGGAAGCACTTTTCAAAGCTTTCAAAAAGCAAGGCTTTCCTCTGCTAGCGTTCGGACTCAAAGGAAAACAAGAGCCTCTTTCTCCCCTTCTTTCCTCCCCCGCCTTTACTTTGACAATAACATTTTCAACACCTTCTTATTCTGGCATTTGATAGAAGCTGGACAGCTGTAACAAATTGTGGGGAAAGCACTCTTCTCCAGTCATACTTTCCAGCAGCAAAAAAAATTAGGAGGTTTTCCGCTAAGCCTGTCTTTCTGCACCCCCGCTGTCTTCTGCAAGTGTAAGGTCAGTTCGAGCAAGGGGAGGCTGTTTCCCTGCGGGAGATGGATGCGCAGTTTGGTCATTACCCTCCCGTTGGGATGGGAATTGGGCGTGCAACAATTTTGAAAGGTGCTCTCTGCATGACAGCAATTCCATAGAATTATTTTCACTACAGAACAGAGCAGACAAATTGTCCACATGTAGGAAGCAAAGCCCACCTTGTGCTTTGCTCTCCCCTTTAGGAACACATCAGCTCCTTTGTTTCTGGAGGGTCAGGGATCAGGTTTCCCTTTCGGTTGCATTCCTCGATTATTGGATACAGATCTTCTTGTGTGCGTATCCTTTGCTTGTGTTTGTTCTCTGCAAGGATGACTGTAATGACGTGGCTTTTGGTCTGAACAGCTTCACGTGGTACCTCAAAAGTGTAAATCTGTTGGAGATTTCCTTGTCAAAACTACTTAGTTTTTGTGCCATTTTTATATGTAAAAAAAGAATAAACATTCCCCTGGGTATTTTATGTTTCCTGAGTCATGGTCCCTCCTGCTCCTCCCAAATAAGCGATTTAAACTATAAGCTCCAAGAAGGTGTATTTTTATAATAGGCAACTCCAATATATTTCTTATTCATCTTGATAAAAGTTATGGTTTTGGGAAGATATCTTGATCTTTGCCACCTATCAGTCCTGAGCTGCAATGAACATCACCTCCGAATCTTGCAATCATGAATCGCCACCGAATTTCGTATTTTAAAACACAGAGGCTTTAACGTGTGTCCTAGAAGGTTAACGTGCTCTTTGTAAAATATTCGAGAACTAGCAAAGGACAGAAAACAGTTAATCAGGGTGGGAAGTCGATCCTTACACCATTATGCATAATTGCTTCTCTCCATGTGTTTTTGCTTAGCATAAAATGTTTTTGTACATGTTAAGCTCATTTTACGTATCTATATTGCTAGACACAGCATTAATTTGTCAAAGTTCAATCAGAGTGTGGCTCTTCAAACTCCGAATTAACTGCATTAAGAGCGTAACTATCCACTAAAGTGTATAGAGTGGGCATTTTGGTGTTCTAATCTGGATGTAAAGACCAAATTTTAACCAGTCAGGTTTTCTCTGATGACTTGTCCTCTTGGAGTTATTCCTATCCATTTGTATGTCACCTCTTATATAATTTCAATTATTAGAGAACAAGCGTGTCGTATCTCTAATCTGCACAGCATAGGGACTATTTCATGCTTACTGATGACTTTAATAAAGGCATCACTTGGGTTAGAACAGACTTATTTTGAAATTTTAGATCCTCTACAGTAAAGGGAAGTTCAGTCTACTTATGTTGAAAGGGTAAAAAAAATGTTACAAGGTCCAGATCTTCAAATTCAGGCACTCGTATTTGTAAAAGAAAAGAAACAGAGAAGGGGGGAGGAGGAGAGAGGAGGTGAGCCAAGAGGAGAGGTAGGAGCAAGTCAGCCCTTTCTCCTGAAAGCCACTAAATCCTTTTCGTGTAAAACAGAATGGCTGGTGAAAATGCTGACCTGACTTTAACCTCTGAATAGCTTCCAGGATTTTTTGGCTCTCACTATGTAAAAGCAGCCAACTGTTAATGTTCAAAATCTGCTACTGAAAAGAAAACTGGTCAAAGAATCACATGCTGCTATGGGGGAACTTTGCACTTCACGTCCCCACAAAAGTGGACTGTAAAGTTTTGCTGCTTGAATGCAGCAGAATATAAGAAAATCTCCAGCAATCTTAGCAAGCCTGCAAAATAAAACAGAAAACATTTCTTGTCAGTATGTACAGCTTACCCAAGTGCTTGTGATGTTCAAGCAGCACTTTGTCATTTAGCAGCAGTCTCCCAAGGGTATTAAAAGAACGGCTGTTTTCTGTGTTGAATCTTCCTGTAGAAGTGCTGTAATTCACTCCGATATGAAATGGGGTGATGCTTTTCCTTAATGTAGAGTCCCCGCTTAATCGTTAGGGGGATCATCTTGAGCAGGGAAATAGGTATGACGTTAAAGCAGCTTGAAGGGAAACCTGCATAAATCCTCTTGCACTGCTGTCACAGTGATGTAGATAGGTCTAATACTATGTGGACCAGTTGGCTTCACTTAAATTTTGTGGATTTTTGCAATGAAGAACGACATGTAAAGGACCCCCGTCCCCTCCTGGAGGCCCCTGGCACGCAGCTTTTTTCACATTCTTTTTTTGCTGTTTTTTACTCTGACTCCTGAGCTTTTAGCAAGTTGCTGCTTTCTACAGATTTATGTGTTCGTGGGTTAAAAATAGGTTTGTTAATAAATTCATCTGGAGTGCGTGCTAAGCAGAATAGATGCTGCTGACAATAAAACAAGATAGATTTGTTTGCGAGTTTAACTGCTTTGAGAAGGGAACAAAGAGCAGCTCAAAAGGCACATCAAGATACACTTAACTCAGGTTAAATATTTTTGTGATCTTGCAGCTAAAGCATTTGAATTCTGACATTCTCATCAGTATTATGAAATGCTCTATTAATAATGAATAAGATTTCTAAGAATTACAGATCTTTTTTTAAATCGAGCCAGCTTCCATTTGGGCTCATTCCCCAAAGGAGGAGGAGCTCCCTGAAAGATGTCTAATATTGATGAATAATGAGCTTTTGTTCACTAATGCATCTGTGTATTGCAGGTGATGGGGCTGACAGTTCAGGAGGTGAAA